GGCTGCACTTGAGGACCTAGAGGATCACATGTGGCCTCGAGGCCGTGGGTTCCCCACCCATCTACACCATCTCCTTTTCCACAAGCACATCCAGATGAATGGCATGAGGTACATATAAAGGAGAGGAGGTGACTCCCAAAGGTCAACTATGATGTACCAGTCAAGAAGAGAAGTATGTCATCATGTGGTAGAAAGAATATCACCTTGGGAATCAGGGGACTTATGTGGGAGTCCTGGTCCTGGCACTTATTAACTATACAATCTTAGACAAGTTTTACAAGCTTTATGAGGCTGAGTTGTCTCATCTGTAAAATCTGGGCTTTGGACTAGGTGAATTCTAAGGTCATATCCAGCTTGAAAAATTTATGAACCAGAGCAACAAACACATGAAAACCAAAGGAGATTTCAGCATGGCCAGGATTTCTTGCAGCAACAGTATTGAGGAAGAGAAAGGTCAAAGGAATCTCACAGACCCAGAATCATGGAATAAATGATCTTGAACTAGTAATGCTCTGTGTCAATTTGTATCATATATATGTATACATTTGTACATATGTATATGGACACACATTTGGAAGAAAGCATATATTCACACACATACATTCACTTGGTTGTTCTAAATCCAGTGATTCTTTAAGTGCCTAGGATACGCACAACACTGAGGATAGCCTAACTCTAGACACAGAATTGGCCTAAAGTATTTGTTCTTTTCTTCTATAGCCTGGACACAGACTTCTACTCATGTTGCTTTCTTCTAATGGCAGGATTTCCTGTAAGAGACTTGATACTCTGCATCAATCTAATTATTTTGTTACCAAAACAAATACATATTTTATGTTTCAAAAAGATTAAGACATGAAAGATTAGAAAATCGGTGCACACTGCCTGGAGACACAAATATTGAGAATTCTGCATATTTCTGCTTCATTTGAAAATACCGTTTAGATTTTTTATAGACTCTGATAATTTAAACCCTGATATTGAAAGATGGACGTACTTTGACTTTGGTAAACTTGATTTTGTGGGATTGTAGATCAATGTTCATTAGGCATTTGTGTGATTCTCCTTAAAAGACTGATAATCTAATAATACTTAACATTTTCCATTTTTAACTGAACTGGCTTCAAAATACTTCCTACAGCTAATGCATGATTTGTTTAAACACTACAGTTAAATCTAATCTTTTACTCCTGCTGATGCTGATCCATATCTTTGGATGGTTAATTTACTGGCTTTCCAACAAAGTTCAGTTATTGTTGCATGTCTGATCAAGCTTAGCAATGATATTCTATATTATATTAGTCAAAGTAATGTTTATGAGAGCCAACTCATATTTATGAACACCCATGATTAACTGAAAATTTCCCCATGTGGCATTTCAATCCACAAATGTGTTTTGATTAGAGAAGGGACAATTATTCTATTTGCATCTGATTCCAACACAAATGGCACAATTTTCACCTCTTTGCAGTTGTATGAATACTTACATATATAAACAGAGAAGAAAAAGCAGTCTCAATGTGATTGACCATGGAACTACTAGTGATCAGGTTTTCTGACCATTCACACCCTCATCTTTTTTTTTTCTTGTGACACATTACTTCAAAAATAGTTTTCTGTATGGATAATTACCATAATTGTTCCTATTCTCAGAAGTATCATTAGGCTATTATCCATTATGCTGCATAAAATTGATCATTGGGCATTGCTCTAATATACTTGATCCTCTTTATGACTGGTCCCCTGAATGTTTAGATTTAACACCTGACAAATGTTACAAATGTGGGAAGAGAATGAGTAAGTAGAATCAAAATTCAGTGCTATTTCACACACATAGATAGATAGATAGATAGATAGATAGATAGACAGACAGATAGATAGATAGATAGACAGACAGGTAGGTAGGTAGATCTGGTGACTTTCTCAAAAGCTTTCATATGTTCCAAAGTCTTTGCCTTAGGATAGGATTTTATCTCTAGGAAAAATTTATTTACTATAGATTACTTGTGCAAGACATATCGCGTCTTCAATCATTAGAGTCTGCTTTATTGATACTATACCTGCATGATCAGCAGTCCAGGATGGTCTTGAACACTATTCTAGTCATAACTTTTGCTCAAATCAATCTTCATGGCACGTCACCAGAAATCTGAAAGTGTTTTCTCACTCCAGTAATGTGGCTTTATAGGTAGACCTTGCTGATCAGCTTGACTGAATTTTTCCATCATAATAGCTCCCCAAATTTTTCTACTTCTTTGTATTTGTGGCCGGATATAATCCTTTAGGAACCCCTCTGTGGGACTGGAATTATTGGTGTAGTTGGCAGTTAGGATGATGCATCCTATACTGTGGCTTGTTCTTTACCACCAACTACTTCCCTGGAGTTGATAATATTTGGTAGAGGTTCATATCTGAGTTATGCACTGAAGGTATCTGCATTAGCCAAGAGCAGTGAGTGGTAGGTTCCTTTTGGAACATTTGTTATATTTTTAAACAGGTAAGTGTAGAATCTGTAGCTTCAATATCTTTCTTTAGCAGTTTTTATTCTTGGGACCAATTTGTTGGTTCTGTTTAATTAGATATGTTTCAAATATTTTTCTGAATTAAGAAAATCTTTGTTGAATTGACATCTCCTTTAAAAATTTTTGACTCACTACAATCCATGTTGCACCCCCTTTTCATGTCAGAGTGTTAGCTTTAATAAATCAGTCTGCTCAAATTGAATAAATCTATTTAAATACTTATAAAATATTAAGGACGCATTTGGGAAAAGCCTCTAAGGTTATTGTGGCACCCATGTACCGCACAGTAACTAATTTATTAAGCAGTTTGCAAACCTGGGAAGAAAGGAAAAAGAAAAATGGTTTCATAAACCAAGAGCAGAAGCCAATTTTTCAGCTCAGATGATGAAAGGAAGCATGCATTTCTAATCAAAAAGACAGATAAGCCTTCTCTCTCCCACCATTCCCTCACCAGCAAAGTGCCTTTTCATCATCAACAACACTCCATTCCTAATGTCTGCCTGGGCCTTTCTGCACCTTCTCCATACACTAGTAATGTACACATAGCATCCCTTTGAAACAAGAGCCCATTAACTGTAGCAGACTACCTTTTCAGTTGACGTTCTTCTGTTGGAAGTCATCAACGGAGTGTTAAATCATTCCTACTGGGCATGCTCAAAACCCTGTCAGAGAGATAAACTGATATTTAGAGCCATAGCATGAAAATTGCTTTTCAACCCCCTTGAAGGACAGTTAAAAAAAATAAAAGGAAAAGGAAAAGGTCATAAACTAGACAGGTAACACCAAACTCATTTCTTTTAAACTCAGACCATTTTTTTCTTCATTGAATTTCTTTATGTGATTGTTTTCGGATCCCTGCCTAATATATTTGAGTGCAGTCACCTCCTTACAAGGGTATGTGTACAACCCAACCAATACCACCGGTCAGAATCCCCAGTTCATTCTGTGTTTATTCTTAACAGCACCCTCTCTCGCTGAGCAAAAACATTGGCACTGAGGATAGCTCTCATTTTTAAAAAAATAATCTCTACTTTTACCACTTGTGATATGAAGAATTGCCTCAATATCATTTTATGTGATGTCAACAGACAGGTGTGACTGATGATAGTGGAGATCCAAAGATAATGAACACTGATACATCCGTCCCTGATTTTTCAAGTTTTGATGCTCTCATTTCTTGTAACTTATGTATTACTTCCCATTCTTTGCCTTAAACTGTAGTTAATTTGTTTATCTATATTAGGGTTTTAATGGTATTTAGCAAGAGCTATATTTAACACAGAAGTTGTAATCAAAAAGAAATGAACTATTTTGGAGGTGATAGAGTTGTTAGGCATTTTAAAAATACACTTATGATTTACAGGGGCCTGAATGGTTTATAACTCACTCAATCTCTTCCTCCTAAGTTGAGTAATATACTAAGATAATAAACAGTGCAGTCAGTGATATCACATAGTTCATTGGGAGAGAGGTTTCTTTTTTTTTCCTTTTCCCAGATGAGAAGGTGAGAAACCCCAGTTTCCAAGTGAACACCTATTTGTGTCCATTCAAGTCATTTGTTATTTTAGGCCCATATTCCTAAACCAGTCCCTTCAAGAAGTTACTTACAACATGTTACTATCTCCCTGCTCTACGATGAAGCTGGTCAGGACATGCTCAGCAACAGGGTTTTAGATAATTACTTTCCCGCCAGTGGGTGTGGTAAAGGGATCTAGAAACTGTCATCTTTAATAGCAATCAGGGTGACACTTCACAACAGCTCTGAGTAATGCAGTGGAGATTAAGACCAAATTGAGCATTGCCATTTCTGAGGGTAATCAATTTTCATGCCATCATAAAAGACTCCTGACATTTCTCACCATAGCTTGGGTCTCTACAAGACTATTCCAGATTTTGTTGGCTTACTTGTTCCCTTTCCCTGCCTATGAGATACAGATGATACAGAATCATCCCAAATCATTGGAAGAACACTGTTAAAATGACATGCACACACACGCACACATACATACACACACAAACTCAGTATGCCTAATCATCCTCAGATGAACATTGTGTTGAGTTGAATGAATGAATATTTTTATTTTCTTACTGCAAAAGCTGGAGGAGAACATATTGCAAATAGACATGGAGGTGGTTGGGTAGAAAGGGTTAAGATTCTGGAACTTAAGGCTTGTGGGGGTTGTGGGATGGAGGTGGAGAGTGGGGGTGGGGTTGGGGTTGGAATCAACAAGTCTGAAGCCCAGGGAAGGTTATCTCTGCTTTTATGCAGGCTGGTTTTAATCACTTTCTTGTACCTCTCCCTGACTTCATTTATCAAACCTTCACATAAAAGTTGCAAAGTGAGGTTATTCAGCGGGTACCCTCATCCGTCTCAGATTATTGACCAGGGTGGTTTATTGCAGAAGCCAATCTTGGGGGATGGCATTCTTCTGGTTTCCAACAAGCAGTCTGCTTTTGTTTTATATTATAATTGCCCAGGCCCAAATTGGAATTGAGTGCAGCCCCAAAGTCCTTTTAAATAAAGCCCTTCCAGACTGTTGGATGCTGCTTCTGGGAGTGAGTGCTTGCAGTCTGCTTTAGAGACTTCCTCTTTGGAGGATTTACCGATTTGAAACAAATCCCTCGGCTTTGGTCCTAAATCACATAATTTTGATTGTAAGATGATCAGAGATATACAGAGAGCTCCAAAATAAAGTGCTACCACCAACTTTTCTCTTGGTGATATTTGTCTGAGTTCTTGTCTACTGTTTTCTGTGTAGTTCTATATGCTTCTCTCATAATTTAAACAAACAACATACTTGCTCAGAAAAAAGAAACAACTTTCTAATTTGGGGGGATAGTGGAGACCATGGGGAAGTAAGTGGGGGTGATACCAGAAGTGCCCTTAAGGAGAGTCATATAAAAATGGTTGGCATTTTAGAATCTTTGCCACATTAAGGAATCACAGTAAGATGTTTACTAATGTCTAGGGACACTAGATGCATAGTGCCATAGAAGGATTTGTTGTCAAGAACTGTGTCAAATTTATCAGAAGTTCAGCTGCTATAGTGGAGAAGGGCCCAGGAGAGTCCAAGTGTAATGTCACATTCAAGAAGAATGATGGCGAGCAAATCTGAAGGGAACTGGGACTTTCTAATGTACATTACTAAATTGTCTTCTTTCTTTGAGGGTGGTTGAGAAGCAAAAAGGGCTTAGAAGTGAAACCTGAAAATTCAATACAAGGCAGGACTCCAGAATGATGGGATATCATGTAAGAAATACACAAGATGGATGAAATAATAAGAAATACATTTTTAAGAGTAAGAGTGTACAAGTCTTTGTGAGATACAGGAAATCAGAAAATATTTTGGGAGAAGCCTATGGGAGAGGTGGCATATTTTTACCATTAAGAAATAGAATATCTCCTTGCTGTCTTGGGATCAACTGAAATATGTAGACATGAGTAAGAGGAGAATGACAAATGAGGTTATCTAAATGATTATGAAGCAATAGAATGGGGGCAAGAGTAAGTGGGTACAGAAGAAAATCAGGTGTATGAATATTTGATAGAGTTCCTAGTCTTCAGTTAGTAATAGGCTTGTCCATAAAATATAGAAAGTCAAACTTCCTCTGTAGTCCCCCGATAACAAGAAAATAGTTCCAAATGCCTATGATTAAAAGAAGGTCTGAATAATAAATTTAGGTGCTTATTTGAATACAAATCTTTTGAAGTTCTTTGCTGCTATACACCCAGTTAGATAATTATGTGTGTGTGTGTGTGTGTGTGTGTGTGTGTGTGTGTGTGTGTGTGTGGTGTATGGTATATGGTATATGATATGATATGATATTATACATATACACACACACATATATGTGGTAAATATATAGTTGGTATATATACATATGTGTGTATGTGTGTGCATATATGTATATATATGTGTGTGTGTGTGTGTGTGTGTGTGTGTGTGTGTATGTGTATATATGAGAAATATGAACAAAAACCTGGATTTCTTATTTAGCATATTTGGATGAAATGTTTTTCCCCCAAATGGGGAAGGATTCGTTTATCTTTTACTCTGATCCTAAAGATGATAATGATGGTTAAGTCCAGACCAAGCTAAGATTGTGAGAGGCAGTATGGAAATGAACAATGAACATGAAGTCAGAAGATTTGAGTTCTGGTCTTATTCTTTCTTACCACTTACTAGCTGGGTGACCTTGACCAAGGCATTTATAATTTGAGACTGTTTGCTTACTTATAAAACGGAACAACGACATGGGCTTACTCTCCTCACAGTGCTATTGTAAGGTTAAAATAAGAGAGGCTTCCCCACTTTATGCAACAATGACTATTTCTGTACACTAGTATACCCTTTCATAAAATCATTTCGTCAAATATTTCTTGGCTTATATTAAAGTAAAACCAAACATTTAATATGATTTTAATACCAACACAAATAATTTTAAACATAAGGAAATAATATAAAATATGCATCATTGATAAATATGTAATAACCATGAAATATTATTGATGGGGTGGATGCACATGTTTTTGGCAGCAAGTTTGTCAAAATGCAGTGTCATTGATAATATTGGTACTTGATTATTCAGTTATTGATAAAAAATATTTTATTTGCTAACAGGTATAGCAGAAAACCCTATTAACATAAATAAAGTATTATGAACAATTAAAAATTTATATCACTTAGATAAAGCAGAAAACTATTCATTCAGCCATAAACAATGTAAATAAAAATGCAACCAACAGTAAATGTTTCAAATTCTTTTGATGTACTATCATAGGATAAATCTATTAATAATTCTTCCGATAGAACTATTTTTGTTCTTATTCAGTCATTCAATCATCTCCAGTTCTTTGGGACCCCATGGAACATACTGCCCATGCAGTTTTCTTAGCAAAGATACTGGAGAGTTTTGAAATTTCATTTTCTGGTGGACTAAGGCAAACAGAGGGTAAGGCATTTGCCTAGGGTCACACAGCTCATATATCTATATACAGTTTGGAATAAGACCCCTTCATATTTGTGTGTGTGTGTGTGTGTGTGTGTATACACGTATATGCATATATATATATATATATATATGCATACATATACCACATATGTATATGTGTATATGTGTGTGTGTCTATATCTATATCTATCTATCTATTGTGTGACTGTGTGAGTGTATTTGTTCATGGCATATGAGTTCCTTGTGCATTTGTATTTAGAAATATTTAGGCCTTAAAATAAAATGATAATTTTATCCATAGACTGGTGAGATGATTAATGAACAAGGAAATTATCTTCTTCAATTTCATCTGTATAGTAGGTTTTTATCATTTGGAATATATCAAAATTTGTAAAATTTTAAATTAAAAATTGAATCATTAAATTGAAAAAATTATAAATTTACTATCCATAGCTTTAACTATTTCAGTCATTTTTTCTTTATAGAACAGAATATGAATTTGATTTATGTGTTGATTATGCTGTGTTGATTTATTTAAGTGACATTTTTCCAAAAATATACAGCAAATGTATGTTTCATAAGGAAATTTATTTAAAAATTAATTTCCTTTATTATCATCACTAAGAAAAATAGTAATTTTTTCAAGTTCAAATGTCCTTTGAAATATTTCTGCACATTTCAAAATAATATAGAAATGGTCTTTGCTGTCCTAATATTGTCACATAATTTTGCAAAGAGCTTTCCTTTTAATGAATTTTTTTTTTAGAAAATTGATTGCTCTTGTAACAACTTGCAGAAAACCATGAAGTGCCTCACTTGTTTATCTTCATAGAAGTTATTGTTGTGAAACCTACAGTGTGTACAAATTGCTTGAAGAGCCGTGCTTTAAACTTGTCCTTGAAGATCTAAATTTTGTCCCAACATCAGCTGGGCACCATCTGTAGACAGTTCAATACAATTCTTCCATATTATATAATTTTCATTAAAAAAAATGTTTCAACTTTGTTGAAAATTTTTCGGGATGTGGCAATGTCCTCAACAGATTCACATATTAGCACGAATCACATATTGTGCACATGTACTTGTAAGATTGATGCATCAGGTTTCAAACTATTTGTAGCTAAGAAATACAGTGCAAACAAAAGAGACTTACCATCAATAACAGTTCCAGTGATTCCCAATGATAAGTATAGTGGATCCTATTTTTTTAGATCCGGGATTCTTCTTAATTCTTTTTTTACTTTGTGTTCCTGTATGCATCTTCTTAAACTGTTCCCTGTTTTTTGCTTTTATTAGTTGCAGCTTCTCTTGTGCAATTTCTCTTTACGATTCCTTAAAGAGTTGCTAAATATAAAAAAGCCTCATTTGATAGGACGAACAGGATTACCTAACACTACACAAAAGTCAAAATGAAAATTGGCAAGTTATGAGCAAATAAGATTCAAAAGCTTAATGGTATTAGTAACAATGAATATGTTCAATTACACATAATATGGTAGCAAGGAGGGCTGCTCACATCATATATTCAAAGAGGTATTAATTAATCTATTTCAAAGAGATTCAATTTCATTTAAAATATTATAAAATTTGGGGTAAATTTCAATGTTATTGAAAATTTCAAATGATTATTTATAACTGATCTAGAGTAATTTTAATTTTTAAAAGTTGTCTTTTTGAAGTTTATTAAACTAATTTCCAAAATTAATGATATTGAAAATATGACAGGTATCACATTATTTATAATTTCCATACAAATATCATTTAACTTTGAGTTTATCGACTTCATGTCCAAAAGCAGCGCAATGACATGAGTCATCTGTGCCATGAGCCAGCACTGACTTACAGTAATGGTAACAGACTGCATCTTTGTTGAAATTCAACTTTTGCCAACTCAAATTTGACCTTGTTTACACATACCTTATTAAATAACTGCCATATTGCATTCACTATAAGTTGGGCAAAATTTGCTGTGGTTAGTTTTGCTTTTGTTGATTTTTATTTCAATTTTGGGGAGAAAAGGAATGCATTGAAGTTGGAGTCACACTTGAAAATGTTCAATAATTTTAGTTCTTTTCTTAGATACTCTTCTTCCCAACACCAGGAGAGGGTCCCCTTCTTGTTTGGAAAGTTAGGGAAACTCCGAAAGACAACATATTTGGAAGTGTTTCACAAACTATAAATTGCTATCTACACATAATGTACACACATGTATATATACACACGCACATACATATACATGCACACACATATACACACATGAATACATATGCATACACATGTGTGTATATATTATATTGTATTATATTATATTATATTATATTATATTATATTATATTATATTATATTGTATTGTATTGTATTGTATTTGTATTGTATTGTATTGTATTATATTATATTGTATTATATTATATTATATTATATTTATTATATTATATTATATTATATTATATTATATTATATTATTTATATTATATTATATTATTATATATTTATGTATTGTATTGTATTGTATTGTATTGTATTGTATTGTATTGTATTGTATTGTATTGTATTGTATTGTATTATATTAT